ACACGCTCTCGGTGATCGCCCCGCTCGGCACCGACGATCTTCTCAACCTGCGCTGCCGTCCCACGCCTTACGGCCGCACGCGCCGCCATGAATACGATGCCCGTGTCGAGGCCAAGCGCTGGCGGGAGCTGTGGCCCAGGGTCGAGTTTGTCGACTAGACTCCAGCGCAGATGATCGCCGCCTTCCTGCCCCTCGCCGCCATCGCCCTGCTGGGCGCCCTGCTCCGCCATTTCATCCCCGGCATGGAGCAGACCCGCCAGTCGATGAACAGGCTGGTGCTGTACGTTTTCCTGCCGGCGCTGGTCTTCCGGACGGTGATGGACGGCACGATTACCCGGCTGTTCCTTGAAATCCCCGCGCTGGCCGCGACCGGCACGCTCGTGTCGCTGGCCGCGGGCTTCCTGATCTTCCACTTCCTGCCGATCCCGGGACCGACCAAGGGCGCGATGATGCTCGGCGCCGCCTTCGGCAACGTCACCTATCTCGGCCTGCCGGTGCTGCTCGGCATCTTTCCCGGCCAGGCCGACCAGGTGTCCGAGGTTTCGGTCCTGTTCGAGGTCACCAAGTCGTCGCTCAACCTCACGCTGGGCGCGATGATCGCGATCGCCTATGGCAGCCAGGAACCGATCACCTTCCGCCGCACCGCATACGAGGCCCTGAAGCTGCCGCCGCTCTGGGCGCTGGTCGTCGCGATCGTCTGGAAGCTGTCGGGCATTCCCTGCCCTTCGCTCATCATGGACACAGCCTCGATCCTCTCCGTCGCGGTGAGCGGGATCATGATGCTGTCGCTCGGCATGGCGCTGCGCTTCTCGGCCACGCCGCTCATGGCGCTGGCGATCCCCGTCTCGGCGATCAAGCTCGCCCTCTCGCCGTTCGTGGTCTTCCTCGCCGTCGCGCCATTCGGCCTCACCGGCGTCTACAGCAACGCCGCGATCCTCGAAGCCGCAATGCCGAGCCAGCTCCTGTCCTTCATCATCGCCGGCAAGTTCAAGCTCGACGAGGAGACGCTGGCCTTCGTCATCATGGTCGACACGATCCTGGCCTTCGTGACCCTGCCTCTGGTGCGAACGCTGCTCCTCGCGAGCTGACCCGCGCCTGCCCCGTCAGCTCGACGGGGCCAAAGAGGCCATGATCTTGGCGCCCTGTTCCTGCGCGCGCAGGGCCGCCGGTCGTCCGACATGGCGCTCGGCATAGTCCTCGAATACCGGGCGCTTCTCGATGCCGCCGAACATCATG